CCTCAGCCAGCTTTGCTGGCTGAGGAACTCTGGGAGTTGAAGTCCACAAGTCTTAAAGTTGCCAAGGTTGGACACCCCTGCTGTACAGTGTATTGTGCAGATTCGGAAGATTTATTTGGGAATCGTGCATAAGATGACATGCTGTGAGAATACAGCCATTGAGCTGCTTTTTCCTCAGGATTAGTAGAGCTGGGCTGCAAAAATCCCCAGGAACAGACCCTATGCTCTTCGCTGCCATCTAAGAACGATCAGATTTTTGCAACAGGCAATCTTCACTTACAACCATTCATTCAGTGACTATCTAAAATTGAGTGGCTCTGAGAAAAAGCAACTTATGGCTGTTTTTTTTTTTTACACTTATGACATTGGAGCATCCCCATGGTTAGATTCAGATGCTTAGCAACTGGCATGTATTTATAAATAATATTTATAAAATTTAGAAATATTTATGTATTTATAAAAAATACTTGTGTTTCGATACGAAACTATGTGGTCGGGCTTAGTTTCTGGGGAGGAAAATAAGGGGGGAAAAATTCTGCCACTGCCTACCAGCATCCATCGGTATTCATCTGGCTAGCGTCCTGTCAGTGTGTGAGAGAGTTGAGGGCTGTTTGGAAACTGAAACAGTATTTGCTGTGTGAGCAAGGAGCCTCGGCGTGGCTTAGCTCAATTGTTCTGTACTAAAGCTGCTTGGTGTTGTGAAACTGAAACTCCTCTGCTTGTGCTTTGCATTTGGAACAGATTTCTTTTCAGGTGGAATGGGGGAATAGAACTCCTTAGCATCAGAGCGTGTTAATAATAATATACGAAATACTAATGCTCTGATGGTCATTTCGAAAAATCCTTTCTTAGCACCTAGAAGCCAAGAGGAACATACACGCCAAATTTCAAATTTGTAAGCTTTACGGTTGTGGAGGTTTTGTGATGATGCGTGAGTGGTATTTCGCTTTTATAGGGCTTAGTTGTGGTCGTAAGTCGATTCATGCCTGATTCACTTCTTCCTTTTCTTCCCATCTTTCAATTATGATGTTACCTGGTTTTGCTTAACCTTGTTCCACAGGCCTGGGAGAATTTTATGCATGTGAGCTATGTATGCGACCCAGTGCTTCCTGGAGGAAGGGGAGTAGTAGTGCAGCATTTAAGTAAATGAAGCAACAAGAGTGGCATCTATTAGTTTATTTCCCTCCATGGTTGCCTGGAAAACAGAGGGGTGTTGATGCAGATGGAAAAAGAAATGACAATTTAAATTCATTATAAATAAAAATAACAGGGTTTATGAAGCTCCCTTTAATTTTTCTTGACCTTTCAGAGAAAAGGATGACTGGTACAATACTTGGAGTTGGGCCTGGAGTGTTCATCTTGGCAGTGGTCTGGGTCTTGACTTTACTGCTGTGCATGTTGTTATCCAGAGCTTCTGGACTCGCTAGGTAAGATCTCTGTTCCTGGCCAAATAAATGGAGGGGAAGCTGCTCTTCGAATGAATTTCAGGCAAAGCTTGAGAAAGCAGGAGATTTTTGTGCAAATGTTGGAGATTCTTAACCTGAATTATCCTAACATTATATAATACAAAAGAGTAACAACAAAGACTTTTCATGGTGATGAACGCTGGTAACCTGAGCAGCAATGGGGTGGTTTTTTAAATTAGATCATTCAATTCTCTGGAGTGTTAGCTCTGTAAATTTCCTAATGTTGATACATGTTCATGTTTACCTGTCAGGGCAGTAGCTCTTAGATATGCAGAGTATGATCCAGTCTGCAAGAAGCCTCCCTGGCATTTATTCTACTCATTTACCAGGTTCTGTTTCTTTCCACTGTTGAGCATATTTCTATGCTCTTATGTTGGCCGTAGAAAAAATGCTGCTGTGAAAGACTGCCTGGTCCCAACAAGGATATTTTACACAGCCTGCCTCACTGCAGATGCAGGTTTCTGGACCAGTGGAATGATCCCACTTGATCATGTTAATATTGACCTCCTGATCTGTGTACAAAGGTGATTCAATCCTTTCAACAGAATCACTTCTCTTATTGGGCACCTGCTGTTTCTCATTAATGCTCCTGTTGTCCTCTGTGAATTTTCTTAATTGTATCTGGCATTGTTTCTTTGTATTAGTGTCATATGTAAAGCTTTCTTTGAAGTAGCAAAGCTTTTATACAATTTCAAATATCTTCGCTCTGTGCTGTAGCTATATAGCAATCCCCACTTTCAATTTTTCCCCTCATTCTTACTTGCTAGTGAACAATATTCTCTGACTATCTGGAGAGGCTATTCCAATGAGAGTAAAGAGCTTGTAATAAGCAGTTGTTCAATAATAGGTCAATATTTCTCAAGTGAATGGAGCATTCTGGCATTGCTTATGCATATTTAGCATTTCAGTAACAGAGAGCCAAACTAGAGCTGTTTATGGTTGCTCTAAGTATTTCATAGTATACAAGATTAGGAACTAGTTGAATCAACTACTTCTTGTAGTGCTGAAGGTGACTACTAAACTTTAAAGAACCACGGTGTTCCTTTTTCAAAACCAGAAGTTTAATGTACATCACTTTAATATTGTTTGGATGAAAGCATAAGAAATCTTTGAAATTTTTTTGCACTTTGTTGTCAAAAAGTAATGTGATTTTGCAGAGAAATTAATTAAAAGGTACTCTGAAAAGTTGCATCAAATGAAAATTGTCAGATATGTTGTTACTTAATATAAGACATGACAATTCATTTTCTAGATTACCCTGACATAAAGACAGATCCTCCCCAAATCAATTCAGAGTTACAAATTTCAGTAATTAAGCTGATTAGAAGCATAATAAATATGAGAATGTGTAATTAAATGTTAGATTATCATTTTATAATCTGATGCCTGGCACTTTCCCTTCCTGGACTTGATGTCCCTTGTTCTGCTTACTAATGTAATTTTAGGGCTCACAGAAGATGTTACGTCATGGCTGGTAGGGGAAGAGAAGGGAACCCCAGAGCTTCCCTTCTTTTTAATCAAAAGAAGTAAAGACGTACAGGGATTCCTCGACTTAAAACCATCCCTTTAGTGACCCAAATTCCAACAGCACTGAAAAAAGTGACTTATGACTAGTTTTCAAACCTACTACTGCTGCAGCATCCTCATGGTCACACGATCAAAATGTGTTTGGCAACTGTCATATATTTATAACAGTTGTACTGTTCTGAGGTCATATGATCACCATTGTAAGTTTCCCAGTTGGTTTCCAACAAGCAAAGTCAGTGGAGGAAGCCAAAGTTGCTTAATAATCTCATGATTCACTTAACAACTGCAGTGATTTGCTTAACTGCTGCAAAAAGGTGGGACAAAAATTCATTTAACAACTGCCTCGCTTAACAGTGGAAATTTTGAGATCAGTTGTTGTAAGTCAAGCACTACCTGTACATCCAATGTTTGCTTATGAGCAAGAACTAACTTAGATTATACACCAAGTAAGAGATACTAGTATTCAAATATTGTGATGATTTCTGCATTAACTTTATATTTCTCTAGGTTTTCAGTCATTCTGGTTTTCTTTGCTGCTGTGATCATCACTTTAACCTTGTTGCTTTTTCCTCGAGCCGGCAAGTTGCCCGCGCCAGTTACAGAAATCAAGGTAAAAGCATCTGCAAATCAACGTGTTCTGTCTCGGCTGTTGATGAAACCAAGACAAACACAGTCTTTGAGCTGATTGAGCACATGGGCTAAGTATAGTCTCAATGAAATGCATCACCCCAAGCAGAGAGTTAATTGCCTGTTTCTCAACCGCTGCCAGAACAAGGGAAGCATTGCTGGAGGTGATGGCAGTAAGAACCAGAGTTAGAATGCTAGTGCTGCCCCAAATTATTAGAAGCTCTGGGCAGGCTTGGCAGTTGGGTATCAAAGACCCCGATGAAGAGTGGGTGGATACTTTGGATCAGATTGAATTTATGATAGGCTAAGGGCTCAAGGATAGGATCCTATTTTGAAGCAAGTATCTGGCAGTAAAGAAGAAAAATGAATTTCATTTTTCTCATAATGAGTTGTTTGAGCAAAATCAAAAATACTTGAAGTAACTTCTTTGGTTTGCCTGAAAATCTAGAAATCTGATGTTAAAAATGAAGGCTGTTTATCTTCAGTTTAACTGAAGTTTAACTGAAAGACCAAGCTGCCTGGTTTAGTTGTTTGAATTCCTGTTCTGTGATCAGAAGCAGGCAATAGAGGATTCCCAATAATTACAAAGACTTGCCAAATGAATTTTGCATTTGAGAAGCTTGTGCTGTTTCTTATCTAAAGAAATAAAAAATGCAGGAAGAGGCACCTGGGCAACAGGAAAATGAAATTAAAGTCAGAAACTAAATGGCTCTTTATCCCCAGGCATGAAAAAATCAGCTATAAAAACTAAATACTTAAACTGGAAAGAGAAGTCTCAAAAAATAAAGCTTGCTCACCTTATTAAGTGAGAGAAAATGCTTTTACACTAAGGTTTGTTTGCAAAGGGAACTTGCCTTCCATGTTGTGTTAGATACAGAGTGCTTTGCTTTTCTAAGAGTCAGTTGTATCTTAAAAAGGAAACTTCAATTATAACTGCTTGTTAAACTTTCGGAGATACTATCTCATTTATGCTTCAGCTCTTTTCTTGTTTTGATGAAAAAATTCTTCAACAGGTCCACACAAATTACATTTGCATTCTAAAGCTTTGATTTGGATTCATACAATTTCCTTATAAATCTGGTGAGGATCAGACTAATAACAAGTAATGACTTTGTGTTATCTTTACTTACTAATAGTTGGCACTCAGTTGAATATTGTCTCTGAATATAAAAATTCCATTAGCTATTATGGCTGCAGTTTATTAGTAGGGTCAGCCAATATAAGTTTTGCTTTAACTTCTTTAAAGCCAGTGCTCTTTGCAGCAAGTTATGAAAATTACCCTTAGTGAATTCTTTTTTTCATAGTTCAAGCCATTGATATTTATTTTATAGACACTCAAATACCTGCCATACAAGCTAAAGACTTGCCTCTCATAGGCTTAGACCAGGAGTCTCAAACACAATTTACCTGGGGGCCGCTGGAGGCAGAGTCTGGGTGAGGCTGGGCCGCATAATATTATACTTTATATTATACTTTATATTTATATTATACACTAATATTATACTTTCATATCACGGTGGGGGCCACAGGATATCGTCCTGCGGGCTGCAATTGGCCTGCGGGCCGCGAGAATGAGACCTCTGGCTTAGACAACTAATCCTGCAATAGGGAACTGGATGCTTTATTATAGTTTTTCTTAAAAAAGAAATCTTCCACACTGAAAAGTTCTTAACTGTCTTGAGTTTCAGATTTTGAAAAAAAATGCTATTTTTTAATCTAGAAATAAGACCATTAGTGGGGGCGTGCATAAGTGCACTAACTTGCCTATAGTCTCTGACGTTGTGTTTGTATTCTTTTATTCTTGTTCTTGATTTTGTTTGACAAGTTCTAATAAATAAATAAGATCCATCATCTTTTGCAAAAAAAAAAAAGATCCATAATTAGTGGCAGTTAAAGATGCAAACTTTGAGCACTGATGATATTATCTAGTCAGAGAGCAAAAGATCCACAAGTAAACCACCAAACTCAGAGAGCATTAAGGATTTCCCATGAACCTTAATTGTGATGAACACAACTTGTCTTCTTTAATCTCAAGAGCTGGTTTTTATTCCTCTATGTGCAGATCTGCTTTTACCTTATTAGAGTGCATCCTACCCCCTCCCCATCATTTTTTTAGTGCCGTGTATAGTTCTACCTTTCCCCAATAAATCACACTTTTACTAATGTAGCTGATGCTTCCAGCAGATTTCACCAATAATCAAATATTCCTCTAGGCTTTTACCTGCTGCTAGATTAACCCTCCAGAGCACTCTGACTTTTCATTAAGAGTTGTGTGTCTGTCTCTCAGATCAACTTTAGAGGCCATTGATTCCTCTCTCCCAGAGATTTCCCAGACCGAATTCTTTAAATTCTATACTCATTCTGAAGCTCTTCTATCCTTGCCTCCTTGATGATGAGAGTGCTGTGCTTCTTGCAGGGCTCCTTCCTGCCCACGTTCCTTCACAACTCTGTCACCAGCACACTTGTGCAACACAGACCCGTTGCTTTAGCTGGAGTTCCCTTC